AAAAGATTTTGAAACGTACATGAATTGTGTAAAATGGTATTGGGTTTATGTTCATATATAAAATTGTTTAGTCTTGTGACATGATGTGTTATTAAAATAGACAGTTATTAAAAATAACTTTATTGAGCAGTGCGAAAATGGCTATCCAAATAGGCTTTAAGTGCAAAAGCATATCAAACCAATTTTTCTATGTGGTAAAAACCAAATTCATTAGTCCAGTTGCAGTGCAAAATGAGCAATAAATTTTTATTTTATTTAAATGATATGTTTGTAATATTCTCGTGTTCACATGTGATATTAAGTCAACTATTAGATTTTCATAAGAAAACTTAAAAATATGGTCCAAGATGAAATTACAAACTTTCATTATTATGCTGTATATACGATAGTTTTAGGGTTCAGTTATCGGGCATAGTGGCATATAAATACCAGTAAATAACTTGTAAGAATTGAATTTGCTAACTATGTATTGTAGGAGTCATCTGTTTTTTGTCACATTTTTATTCAGATTTGTCATCTGATTATTATTTCGAGAATTCTAACACATGATACAAGGCAATTAGAGAATAGGTGAGAAATTGATACAAAAGAAATGAAATGAATGGGGTTTTACTTCCTACTATTCTGCACCTTGTGGGCTAATGAAGGCGGACTATGCCATGCAGGGTGCAATGAGGGAAATTTTGCCAGGACAGCGACATTAGCCTGCTCTTTTTCGATTTCCAACTGTCGAGTGATCTCTAACATGCATAGTCTGTAGCACACGGGGCCTCGGGTTTATTGTCCCATCCAAACGACTAGACGCTTTTTCCATGTCAGCCCCTCTTAACTACATCACTGACAGAGGGAAGAAATTGATACATACTATAAATAATTATGATGTTATTTTAGTTTCATAAAGAATATTCAAGAAATGTCACAAAATGTCTGTAGATAATTGCTCATTAAGATACCAAGAACATGAAAGTTTACTTTTATCTTTAGGGTAATGTAGAATAAGCTGTTATTTAAACTCAGAACTTGGGCCTCTTGAGAAAAACTTATACAATTAGTAGACTCTATTCCAGCCTCTGATAGATATTTGGATAGGATGTAGGCTGGTGTAGAGACAGAAAAAAAGGCCTTGTTAAATGGGAACTTTCTGCATCTCTGAAGGAGGTACAGGGGTTTTAAACCTACTTAGATATCTTGAATCTGCAAAACCCAGATATATTTGGAAAGATGAATGTTTTTGTAGTTCAGTCATACCATCATTTTCTCCCTACACCATCTATGTCATGTCTGCAGTTCCATCATTTAAAACAGCGTGCGCAGCCAAAAGTTCAAAGGTCACGTGATACCAAAAAAACTTTACGGTGATGTCCAACACTAATTTACAATCATCGGAAAGGTACTTTAATATTATGTTACAAAAAACACATCTTCGGATTTGTGGAAAATCCCCATTTAACAGGGCCTTTTTTTTTCTGACTCTACTCCAACCAACATATGTCAAAATATCCATACAATGAGATGCTCTAATGTCACTTAAACAGAGAGGTTTGGAAGTGTATATTCACCTTATATGTAACAAGGAACCAAATACATTTATACCGTGTTATTTTTGTAACAATCTCAAGGCAACAAAAATCACATAATACTTATGGTTTAAGGGTAAATATCTTACAGACCACAAGTAAAAATCAAACAGATAAAATAATAACACAATCAAAGAAGTTGAACTGTCTTACCTGTTGTGGATGATCATCACCTGGGGCTTCCCACAATCCAACATTATCTAAATTCTCCATATAACATGCGTTACAACCTGTACCTGAAAATTTAATCAATTTGGAGATGTATTCAATTCTGTTTCTAGAAAATCACAAACTTACTGGAAAATTTGGCTCTGAAACATCCCACAATTCCTCACATGGAGTCTGTCAGACCATGGATGGCATGTGGAGACTACCACAGAAAAAATGGTAATAACTGCTCTAAAAGATATAAAACTTACCTAAAATGAGGCCAATTTCACAGTTCCTGTCACTATGGGCAGCAGACATCAATGTTCCTACAGCATCATTGACTATAGCCAATATTTCGACATCACAGTTCTGAAAAATAAAATAAACACACAATATTCATATGATGTCTCAAATGGAGGTGCTAACACTAATAGATCTTACTGATAATCACTAACAATAAGTACTGCAATACATATTTCTCATATGGTCCATAAAAGTCTTCAAAATGTATAGAAAAATCTCGTTTTGACTTAAGGCTAATTTCTAGTCCATTTTAAAAATACCAAAAATATTTGGATGTCTTTATTACGATGGAAGACTGCGTTTATGCACAAAAATTTACATGGAAAATGCAAAACACTATAAGTTTTGTTTACATAAATGCAAATTTTAACAATAACTTGTAATGTCTTGAATATTAATGCATTTTTAGCAATAAATTTGGATATTATTGACATCAGATCTATGTGGAATGGTTATTAAGGTAATTTTTTTACAAAATATGCCAAGACTTGAACCCATCTGGTGTAACAGACTTTGTACTGAGCCTAGTTACCATAAATAGACATGGAAGCAGCTCAATGTGGCAAGAACTAGTTCTAAATAGGTTTATATTGATTTTATACTTCCGCTAAATGTAACATCATTCTATTTATACAAAGACATAATCACGGTAGATAATCTAAATGAAGTAGAACACTGAACACAGTTAGAAGTTTTTTTAAGTGATACAGTCCTCTAATTATTGCTTAAGTTAACTAATAAAATTATCCAGATTTCAAGAGATACAGAAGTATGATTGGATAATAAAACAAAATTCAAAATAAATTTTAGTGATTGGCCAAGGAAACTGTTAAATCATCCTTAGTTGACCAATCAGATGATGAAAACATCTTAATTAATTCATCCTTAGTTAGTTTTCAAAAATAAGACACAGATCTCTTGAATAAAAGTTAACACGTTTGTAACAACCCTAGGTCTA